TGAGCTTAAACTTAAGTGCATCATTCTTATATTGATTCATGTTGACAGAGCTGAATTGGTTGAGTGACAAATGATTACCGTCAAACCAACACATTTGCGTTTTGTCCTGAAAAGTCTAAAACTCAAGCTAAATTGAAGTGATTGTTTTGAATCTGATCCAAAATATGAGCTGAAAACTAAACTGTCTATAAAGAAATGAATGCTGCCTCGATAGAACAGCCTGAAGCAAAACTTTAGCATCTAATTAATGTTGTTTAATGTGTCCCCGACAAAAATGAGGCCGACACTCTAGAATAGACAACTTTTTCTTCTTTTATCCGTATCCCAGGGTTGTTGTGCCCTCTCTTTGCTTGCGAGGGGGAACGCACGGGATAAAAAGGTTGGAAGCAGTGGGGGGCGGGTCCTAGCTCCAAAAGGTGGGGGTGTACCCGGAAAGAGAATTACCTAAAGCTTATGTATGGTGCTTTCTTTCCTCTCGAAAAAGTCGCTCTTGGTTCCAGATGCTGTCAATGTTGAGGGAAGTACTTTTTTTGGACCAGTCTATTTTAGCCGCTGTGGACTTTTGAATGCACTTGTTAAATGAATGGGGCTAGTGCAGCTAACGCATGCACAAATTTGTTATTCTTTTCACATTTTCTTGCCCTGCGGCCATTTTGAAAAAGGCAAAAGTGGTGGTACATTAGTTTCAACAGTGGAGACAAGCGTGACTACATCTGTTTATCTTTCCAGTCTATGGTTGGAAGCCTCTGGTTGCCACATTAGTCTGAGTCGTAGATCTGTGTGGACCTCCCCAAAGTCTCTCAGTTTCTTTTCTGAGTAATTTTTTGTCGATATAGAAGGAGAGTGACGATCAGGGACATTTATGGACCAATGGCTCCAATGTGTGTTTGTTATTGCACTTCCTGCGTTCGAACGGCTTGATTCTCTGATCTGTGTTGGCGATCTGTGTTTTAAATGAGGGCTGGACAAAAATAAATTGAAATTCCAACTGGTCCAAAAGATGACGACAGAGTGTTGGGGCCTGATTCTGCAGTACTTTTCCTTCTTCCTGTTGCGACGAACAACATGTATTATTTATGGGGTAAAGTGAGCTACCGCAGTTTCAAGGTTAGCCGCATATACGAACAAGACGTTATGCTCTTCTTGATTGGACTAGAATTCAGAACCAATAAAGCTTGGTACAAAGACAATGGCCGTTGAAGAAAGTGACTGTAGCAGCACTTAACATTCCCTCTCTGCAACAAGTCAACAGGACATTAAAAGCAGAGATCTCGTCTGAGTTATTTGCATCCTCTACTATCGCCAAAGCCCTTCCCGTCGTCCTGTTTAACAAGCCTTGACCAGTTGTGTTTCTAATGTTCTTTTTACAAGGAACATTTGGAAATTAGCATGCAGCTGCTGGTTCTGATTCTGCTGCTGAAAGTCAAAACAATATATTCTCAATTTGCGCATGAAGCAACTTGATTTGATCTGTGAAATCTGTTTATTTTTACCAAACTGCCTTGGATTCTGTGTATGTTTGAGTATTGTTGCTGATCATTAATATAAAAACTCGTCCATGGAGTTTTTAAATTACCGTAGTGCGTTAGTGCTTCACTAAAACTACTATCTATGTTCAGTTCATGGGCACGCTATGGTTTGTACGTTGGATTTCGTCATCAACATTGAGTGTTGGAGGCAAATATATTCAATTCAATTCAATATATTGTTGTATAAGCCCAAAATCACAACAGTATTTATCTCTGAGGACTTCACAAAAGTGTTGAATTCGCCAACAACAGATCAGAGAATCAAACAATTCAGACACAAGAAATGCAGTGATAGAAAACGAGCCAGTGGTCCATAAAGACAACATCTTTCTCTGTCAACACTACTCGGAGCTACTGGGACCACCCATATGGAAAAGTTACACATAAAATATATAAAAACGTCACATCACATTTTATTTTATTTATTTTGTATCTCCTGAAAGTGGCAGCGTTTGCACATGTTTCATATATAGAAAAAACAGAGTTTGTTAATATGCAAATTGTTTAGTCTTTGTATAATTTTCAGTTTTGGTTGAATCCCCTCCGACCAATCAGTGAGCACGGGAGGCGGGTGTTGTAGGTCAGTGTCGTCAAGAGTTTGCACCGAATTTGCTGGTCGTAGTTTTTCGGAGAATGCGATAGTAAAATAATCTGTTCTGGTTCAATCCAAATATCAAGAAATTGAAGCCGGAGCAAGAGGAATGTTTAGTGAATGTCATTGAAGCAAAGATTTTGTGGCTCAACTCCGTAAGTGGCAAAGGAGATGGCTAAAGCTAGGCTAAATGCTAAAGCTAGGCTAAATGCTAAATGCTAGCAACTCACTTGGGCTCATTACATACGTCACAGTAAACTCAGATCCAATGGTTTCAATCTGCAAAAGGAGTTAGCCCCTCCCACCTGTTAACGGAGTCAATGGAGCAAATCCAGACCTTAGTATGAAATTAAATTTGTACAATGACGTGGTAAGACCAGGCTAGCGCTAAGCCTGACCAAGCTTGGTTAGTACTGTGATGGGAGACCACTAGAAGGCGCACAGAGAATCGAAAAGGGCATCATTATTATATTCATTAAAGCAATCATACAGCTTTATATTCTTCCATATCTCACCAGGATGACTTTTCCATCTCTGCGTTATGTCCTGGTGTTTACCCAAAGCCGTCTCTGTCTCTCTGCTCTTCACCTGTGAGCAGCAGCAGCAGCAGACGTGGATGTGTCGGACGTAAGGATTGGCTCGGTCAACTTAAGGAGCTGTCAAATTCTCACGCTGTAGTTCTGTTGAGAGGAAGCTGCATCTGTGATAGAACACTGTTTGAGAATGAACCGTCTGCTTTGTCTCAGCTTCACCAGACGCCCTGTCGTGGATTTTCAGGTGTGATTTGAGTCGCTTTGAGCTGCATGGAAAATGTATTCAACACATCTGCTCCTTTAGAACAACATGTAGCTTAGTATTGTCTTTTTATTGATCTTTCTGCCAACACCTTTGTCTTAAAGTACACGGAAATCTTGTGCTGGCAGGGAGCGCAGACAATGTGATGCCAGAACAACCAAGTAAACCTTTGCTCAAACAGTTTGAGTCGTCTGTTCTATCTCCAAATCATATACTTCTATCTCCAAATTATACCTATACATTACTTAATTGAAAGATATTTTAATGTATTTTTTGTGGCCAACAGCAATTTCTTCATATTATTTTAACACCAGAACCTTTTTTTGGTTGGTGATAATGCACAAGTACTCGCTCTATTTAAGGCTGTAAAACCCTCACACACACTTTATACACTTTTCTAACCGCCTGAAGTCACGACTGCTGAAGTGCGATTGCCGAGATATCATTTGATAAGTTCACTTTAGAATCTTTAATATGAGGTTTAACATGCCACAGTAGCAGAGGAGCTACAGCTGATGTTTCAAAATCCCAAATATTGGCATAATGTTTTGGTCAATCTCGTGGTTCTTTACCCAATATGAAAATGACAATATGCCTTTTTAAATCCAGTTTTCAGTGTTTCCAGTGAATAAAACCAAAAACATATTACCCTTGTATAATACTCTTGTCAAATTGACCCACAACGGGGATTCAAAAAGAACCTAAACCTTTTGATCCTAGTTTAGGTTAGGTTTATTCTACTTTTAATCACTGTGGCGGGTTATTTTGACCTGGAAGTAGGGTTAGACAAAAAAATTGCTCCAAACTTCCACAGACACGTCAAGAATTAGTTTCAGATTCAGACTGCTTTATTCATCCCACCTGGGGCAATTCATTTTAGCAGCAGAGAGCATCAAAAACACAGGAAACGTCACAATAAAAAAACAGAAGCGACCCACCAGTTTATCAACGCCCAAATATCTTCAGAAGGGTCCTGTCCCTTTCCATTACAATGTGCCCCAGAGAGAGACATGTGGTGACTCTGGATCTGATGAAAACTCCATTCCATTTACTTCTGCTTCATCCATTGCCGGGTCGCGGGGGCAGCAGTCTAAGCAGAGACGCCCAGACCTCCCTCTCCACACACACTTCTCTGATGAAAACTGTCAATCTACAGAACATAAGCTCTAAGGTCCTTGTCCAAAGTCTCTCTCTGCAGCAGGTCCATGACTCACTGCTTCTCTATTGGTTCAGTGGCTTCAGTGATTTCCCCTCAGCGACGCACTGCCACTCTCTGCCCCCGGAGGCACTAATGAGCAGTGCACAGCTGTCCAAATACAGCCGTCCGTCAAGATCTTTTGAATACGTTTGGGGCAAGTGGGAGGATCTGAGCTCTCACACCTGAAGCTAAACAGTCGGAACAAATGTGCGAAGATCATTTAGGGATTCAAACCCAATTCAAACCTGATGTTTTATTTCTCCTGACAGAAATTAGACATTTATGAGTAATGGAGATTTGAGACGACATTGTTGTCCATTTGGGAAAGACTTTCTGTGAGAAGAGATTTGACTTGGAATAAATTATTGTAGAAAAATAGAAGTTCAATGGAAAAACTTTCAACTCACTTTCAAGACATATTAAAGCTGGGACACCTTACTATTTTTTACCAAATAATAATAATAACAACTCAAAAAGAGTAAACATCGGTGAAAAAAATCAAACCACAACACGCTATCTCTATCCATGTGTGTGTGTGTGTGTTTTCTGTGTGTGTGTTTCCTGTGTGTGTGTTGTTTGTGGCTGATGCGTTGAGCCGCTGTTGTGTCTGGGGTCACTGAGCTGTGTTTAGTCTGCCGCCGTCACACTGCTGTAAATTAAGACTGAGATGGAGATGGTTTTAGCAGACGCCCGCAGACCACAGGGTTAGGGTCCGGTCTGACGGATCTGAGACCACTCCTTCTTCTCAACTGCTACACACAAATACAGCTTGTAAATAATGATGATATTAAAGAGTAGAGTGTTACAAAGTGTAAAGAGAGTTACGCCTTTGTCTTGTTCTGTAAACTTGACCCACTGTAACTTTTCCCACTTCTTTGTCTTCCAGGCTGTTCCTCAAAAGCCACAGTGGGACCGCGGGCCGGCAGAGCAGCCTGGTGATCCACGGAGCAGACTTCAGCACCAAGGACATGGACAACGACAACTGCATGTGCAAGTGTGCGCTCATGCTAACCGGAGGTAAGAGAGCAACAACACTGCTGCTAATCCTAGTACTGTTGAGACTGCTGCTACTGCTATTGCTACTACTGCTGCTACTACCGCTGCTAATCCTACTGCTGCTATTGCAACTGCTGCTGCTCTTGCTGCTGCTACTGCTAATGCTACTGATAATGCTACTACTGCTGTGACTGCTGCTGCTTCCACTGCTACTGCTATTGCTGCTACTGCTATTGCTACTACTGCTACTGCTATTGCTACTGCTGCTGCTATTGCTACTGCTGCTGCTACTACTATCCCTGCTACTACTGCTGTTGCTACTGCTGCTCCTGCTACTACTGCTGCTACTACTGCTACTGCTGCTACTACTGCTACTGCTATTGTTACTACTGCTACTGCTATTGCTACTGCTGCTACTACTGCTGCTGCTACTACTACTATCCCTGCTACTCCTGCTGCTACTACTGCTTCTACTGCTGTTGCTGCTGTTACTTTACTACTGTGTGAAGGACAGGGCCATAAGACGGTGAGGACCGTCTTTGCCAAAGAAGTGTCTCCGGTTTATTACAGTCCTGTGGTGACGGAAAGACCCAAAATACATGATGCAAGAAAAATAATAATTTAATGAACATAAAAGTCAAGGGCAGGAACATCATTTTAAAAGAAGTCCAAGGGTAAAAACAAATTCAAAAACCAAATGGGACCAGGAACAAAGACAAAGAGAGAATGGACCAGCAACAAGGGGAAATGACAGGTACATATAGACATAGTAAAGTAAGTAAATCTAAAACAAAAATAAAATCCACACCATGGAAAATTTGGGAAAATCCTCTTCTATACCCTTTAAGTTCATATAGTGATAAGAACGTATATTATTCAATGGAAGTTTAGAAATGTATTTAAATTTCAAACAGACTTTTCTCATTGACTTTCCAAAAACGAGAAACCCACGACCATTAACAAACTACTCCCGATTTCTACATTCATTTTGTGAGCTCTGTGACTGGAGATCACCACAGCCTCTGCCTCGGTCGGTCCTGAAGCCGGTCCTGAAGCCGGTCCTGAAGCCGGTCCTGAAGCCGGTCCTGAAAACGGTCCTGAAGCCGGTCCTGAAGCCGGTCCTGAAAACGGTCCTGAAAACGGTCCTGAAGCCGGTCCTGAAGCCGGTCCTGAAAACGGTCCTGAAAACGGTCCTGAAGCCGGTCCTGAAGCCGGTCCTGAAGCCGGTCCTGAAGCCGGTCCTGAAGCATAAAAGCCAGATCTAAACGTGGCACAAGTCGCCTGGTGTTGGATTCATCCTCTAAATGTCAACCCAACCTTTAAAAACCGCACCAATGTGTTCCCACTTTCCACAGAACAACAACAAAAGTAACCGAAGCAACAAAGTCCAGCAGCAAATAGTCTCGCTGGATCCTTAATGAGACCGTTCCAGTTTCCGTCAGCAATGTCGCCCTCATTAAAGAGTTTTGTTTTTATCCTTAGGCAAGACTGATTTATTTGCATCGCACGGTTTAGTTCATAGTTCACAAGGAAACTCAAAGTGATGGGACATGGATTTTAACATTAGCAGGGACTGAGTTGGAGACTGTCTCACATTTTCAGGAAGACTGTCCCAGATTTTAGCAGCTTAAATTATGAAATGCTGCCATGTTTAGTCCTGACTGTGGGACCAGCAGGAGGCCAGTCCCTGTGCTCCTCAGAGTCCCAGCAGGAGGCCAGTCCCTTTGCTCCTCAGAGTCCCAGCAGGAGGCCAGTCCCTGTGCTCCTCAGAGTCCCAGCAGGAGGCCAGTCCCTGTGCTCCTCAGAGTCCCAGCAGGAGGCCAGTCCCTGTGCTCCTCAGAGTCCCAGCAGGAGGCCAGTCCCATGTGCTCCTCAGAGTCCCAGCAGGAGGCCAGTCCCATGTGCTCCTCAGAGTCCCAGCAGGAGGCCAGTCCCTGTGCGCCTCAGAGTCCCAGCAGGAGGCCAGACCCTGTGCTCCTCAGAGTCCCAGCGGAGGCCAGTCCCTGTGCGCCTCAGAGTCCCAGCAGGAGGCCAGTCCCTGTGCTCCTCAGAGTCCCAGCAGGAGGCCAGTCCCTGTGCGCCTCAGAGTCCCAGCAGGAGGCCAGTCCCTGTGCTCCTCAGAGTCCCAGCAGGAGGCCAGTCCCTGTGCGCCTCAGAGTCCCAGCAGGAGGCCAGTCCCTGTGCTCCTCAGAGTCCCAGCAGGAGGCCAGTCCCTGTGTCCCTGTGTGAGTCTGAGTTGATTCATATGCATTGAAAAGGAAACTCCTCTCACTGGAAAAAAAATATGAAAAAAAGTCAAAAAGTGCTAGAATTTGGCAGAATGTAATTTCATTTGAGCATATTTTGTGAATGGGACAATGAGGAAAATTGTCTTGTTTTGAAAATATACAAGAAATATCTCCCTTGGAATGGAGAAAATAAAGCAACAGTTCCTGAAATAAAACTAAATGGCTTTGTCCCATTGGCAAATCTTATTTTAACATTGATATAAAAACTACTTGATTCAGTCTGATCCATCATGAGCTCATATTGTATCATCCGTGTGGCTCTAACTTTCTCACACGTCTTGAATCTCTAAATCACTTAACTGTGGATAATGGAAGAATCTGATTAAATCCAGTTTTTTTTTCATCATTCGTCCATTTAGACTTTGAGAGCCATCTTCGATCACCACATTTATCCAGGGACCAACAACACGGACCATGGACTGGATTTGGGCTGTTCAGGGCTTTGAAATTATTTTTTTATGAACACATATGTCTTTATATGGTTCACATGGAACGGGGCTGAAGTTGGCTGAATGACACTAACCCGTTACATAAGCGACAGACGACCATAAAGAAATATCAGTGCAGTCAAAGTAATTAAATAACTGGATTCCATAGATTCTGAGCTTCCCAACGAGGTATAATCTGTGTTGGTGTAGCTGAAGTTGGCTGAATGACACTGTCAATGTACATTAAAGCAGATAAGTAGTATTCACATACTGGGCGAGACGGTGACGCAGTGATTAGTACTTGTGCTCCACAGGTCCTGGGTTCGATTCCACCTCCTGACAAGGCCATTCTGTGTGGAGTTTGCATGCTCTCCCCATGTCTGAGTAGGTTTTCTCCAGGTGCTCCAGTTTCCTTCACTACTAAAAACATGTCTGGCAAAAGGTACGGCCTCCTCGCTCCCAGTGAGTGGGAGGAAAAATAATTTGAAAGTTCTTTGTGACTCAGAAATGTTGTTTACGCCAAGAAACAAAAGAAGAATATCAAAATTGTGCATTTACATAATACTAAAAATATAAAAATATCCTTTACTCAAGAGAAACACTTGTAGATAAGGAGTGGGAAGAAGGAAAAAAAAGTTGATTTACTGTTTTGTGTTCATGATCTCAAAGACTACTTCAGGTTAGCGAGGCATGGGGCCACATTCAAAAGCCAAAAAGTCAAAACTTACATTATTTTGGACATTCCTGATTCAGAAAAACTCTTTTAATGTGTTTGGCGACTGAAGCCGTAGTCATCGGGACAGATTGTAAACTCACTCGTCATCGCACCTATAGCCTTAAATGCTGTTGTCGGAACTCTGGGCGTGGTCCCAAATGTCCCCCTCTCTTCTGAAATGGCTGGCCTGGGTGCAGTGTAAGGAGATCTGGGTGACTGACCGGAGCCTGGAGTTAATCAAGCGTCCCGTGCACGTCGAGATTGCATTAAGTTCGCTTAGGTCATCGCGACAAAACGCTGGCAAAGGAAAAACGCACACAACACACGACTGATTTATGTGCAGCCTAAAGCCGGAGCAGGGCTGCAGTCCCAGGACCCACCTCTGCAACGGCCAGGGAGTTATGGTTTAGTGGCTTGTAGAAGTCGCTGTAAAAGAATATATAGTAAATACCATAGTTAGGGATTGACACACGATTATGACAATGTGAAGAAATGGAGGGGCATCAGATTGTCTTTTGGAGAGGCACAGAAGTAAAGGAGACATACTATGCTTCTGTCTGTCATAACGAAAATCTGTGACACCTGTGTTTTGTTTGTACATGTGGCCACAGGTTGTCCTTCTAACCAAGCAGGAGCACACACCAGACTCCACCCATTCATGTCAAGGTCTCATTAAGGGGCCCTAATCTGTCAAAATGCATTAATAAAACATGCTCTTTTCTAATACTTCTTTAGGTGATAACAGTAGTTCAGAGATATTCAAATTTCAAAATTTGTTTTCATGTCCCGCCCTCCACCGTTTCACCAATCAGAATGTCCATGATCCTGGTTTCCAGAACTCACCGCGTCGAGCTAATCTCACTGGTAAAGTACCATGTGGCCGCAGAACTAGAAAAGGTCTCATTCTGATTCTCAAATTATAACAAGAAACACAAGGGCAGCACGGTGGCTGAGTGGATAGCACCCAGCAAGAAGGTCCTGGGTTCGAATCACGGTCGAAACAGGGTCTTTCTGAGTGAAGTGCTCCACGTGCTTGAGTAGGTTTCCTCTGGGTACTGCGGTTTCTCCTACCACCACTAACCACAAAACATGCTCACTAGGTTAAATCCTCCAGCTCTGGTCCTGACCAAGTCGAGCATCAACATCTGGAGATGAGTTCCCGGGCGCTGTTACTACGGCGACCACTGCTCCTGACGTAAGGATTAATTTCCCTACGGGGATTAATAAAGTGCACCTTTACCTTTAGAAATGAAACCAGGATTTCTATCTTTGTGATAAAGGTGTTAGTTAAAGATTTGTTGTTGACAAAACTGGTCCTAGGTCCTTGTCTGCATATCTGGCAACCTGAGTGAGGGAGAATGAGAGAGTTTGCAGTAGACATTGCATCTCAGACATAGAAGTTGGTGATCAGCAGGTTTCGTTTTACTTAATTTAAGAACAAGACAAGCAATCTTTATACTTAGATTGGGGTAAAATACAAATGTGAGGGTCTAACCATGTGACAATCAGGCCATGCATGTACGAGAAACGGCGTGGCGTTTCTCCAAAGATTATTTTTTTACAAACTTGGTGCCTTGTGACAGACCTGTTGCACCTACATTGTGTTCCTGACTTCAATCTTCAAAGCTATGGTCTGATTGTACCAGTATTCCTGAGCAGTCCAGTCGAGGCAGAGGGCGTTCTGTTTGTTTGACTGTGAGTTTTTACAAGTCCTTAAGAGTCTCGGTTCTGAAAACAGATGAAGATAAATCCGTGCTCAGTGAGATTTTATGTGTGCGTCAAGTGTCTGTGGCTCGTCATCCTGTCAGAACACACCGTACCCACTCTCTTACAGCACTCTCTCCACTTTATCTCCTGCACTCTCTTCTTTAGCCGGATACAATAAAGGGTTAAAGAACACGCATGACACATAAGAGTTAAACCATGGTCTGTGAGAATTCCAACGCAAACTGCCGTGCATTATTATTATATATACGCCCACGTAGTTCCGGTAAGTGTAAAATTATGCTCTATATCACTCCGCCACAGTTGTTGCCATAGTAACTGTAACAGCTGGATCAAATAAACTGCCAATTTGGTGACAAGCCGTAGCAACTAATGGCGGCAGATAACATGGATTTTGAGGTGAATTTTAACATTTTTGGACATAACAAAACGTTTGAGGAGAACCAAGAAGAAGAACGACAAAAGCGACGATACCTATTTTGTCTGTGTAAATGTCAATGTTTTGTCTGCGTGTTATTAAAAGTAGTTCCCATTTCTCTTTACAATAGTTGCTAAGGAAACGTTTTGTTATCAGAATTGTTAAATAATTGCTATACTTAAGCATATTTGGCCAGTTCAGTAAAATCACTAAACATCTGTTACACACTTAAATTCACGGGACCATGATACCCAGTTATAATGCACGCCTCATGCATTACAACTGTATAATGCCCGGCTCCTCACTGTTTAATCCTTACTTAATATTGGCGCTTAAAGCCAGGGTACCTAACTCTCAAACCACAAAAGAATCTCCTAAACCTTTTCATTTACATAGTCCTTTGGGGCAACACAATTTGGATGATTGTCAGGACCAAACGGGTGATAAAGAGGTAGTGAAGAAGTTTATAATGCATCAGCTTTACACAGGACTAGACACTTCACATCGTCATCATTCATTCATTCATACACTGTGATATAGCCACAGCTGCCCTGGGGCACACTGACAGACGCAAGACATCACCAACCATTCACACACACACACACACACTAGCACATTCTAGCACTAGCACATTCTAGGCGATGTGGGTTTTTCCAATATCCGGTGAAGTTTAAAAAGGCAGATTGTGCAGGGTCTGGGCAGACTGCTCACAGTTAGGGCAGTAATGAATTGCACTTTTGTACTATTTCCCTGTGAGTTCTGTTTGCGTTTTCAGGTCCTAGTGATTTGCTGTCAGTTAATAGAAACACATTTCATGAAAATTCTAAAATCCAAGCCTTATTACGTCATAATAAGCAAATTAGATGGGTCAATTTAATCCCTACTCAAACTTTGGGCCATCCTTATTTTTTCCCTATTTACAGAAACCCTCAATCTCTCCTAATAAAAGATAGAGGCTTTCTTATCTATAATGAAAATATCAGAATTGAGCGTTTTAAGAAAAAACTTGAAGGGTTAATTAATTACACTTTAGTTGTGAAATTAAGAAAATAACTGTTGTTGACGTCATGCGAGGATATGCCAGAGGTTTCACAGTATTTTATGAAACTTATGACTCAAACCCGTGTTTAAATCCCCCAGTACTGTATGTAGAATATCCACGATGCGAGTGTATAAGTCCATAAGCTAAGCCATGCATCATCCTGTACATGTAGTTGGAAAACAATACGATTTTGAGTTCCATGTGTCAACAAAAGTGCCTCTTCCCACGGAGGACTCTGCAGTATTTCACGACCATTTGACATTTCGTTTCAAAGCCAAGTCAATATGCTCTCTGGAATCCCTCTGATACAGGTCTGATATATATCGCTTCGTTTATAGTCACACAAGAGGACAACGGGCAGGTCACGGCTACCTCGGCCCCGGATCCACGTGAAACATACTTCCTCACATTTCTTTCAAGCTTCTCCAAAAATATCTTATGAGAGTGATGCATTGACAGACAACCTGCCGGAGAACACGATAAGGCCTCACCCTGTCCATGGCCTCGGGATCACTCGTTTTCATTTAGAGTCTGTTTGAAGGAGACAAATCTAACAATGGACAAAAGAAAATATGTTTGAATGTGTTTGTCTCCTACTCCAGACTCTTCTCCTCGATTCCATTTTTATGTCAGCAAAGACTCATTATATTTCATTAACAGCATAGAATGTGTGTATGTGTGTGTGAATGATCTTATGATTTAAGTCTTATTGAATTAATTTGGTTATGAATCTTACTTTTGACTGACCGTAACCCTAACCCTCTTGAACTTTAACATTAAGTAATGTTATTGAATGTTGATTGTTCCTATTTTAAATCAGCAATACGTAAGATTTTCATGCTTTGAAATCCTAAAATGGCCCTAATGTGTCAAAATGGTATGGTATGGTATGGTTTTTATTCATACAGGGACAGTGTACAATAAACGTTAGCCAGAAGGAGAGCTGCAGTGCTAATTTACACCTGTAAAGGCATTAATAAAACATGCTCTTTCCCAACACTTCTTTATCTGATAACAGTAGTTCAGAGATATTTGAATTTCTAAATTACTTTTACAGTCGCCTAAATCTTATTGTTTTCATCTCGATGTCCCGCCCTCCACCATTTTACGAATCAGAAAGTCTGTGATCCAGCTAACCAAGTTAATCTCACTGGTAAAGTACCCTGTGGCCACAGAACTAAAAAAGGTCTCGATAGGATTCTTAGATCATTAATGACAAAACATGGAAGAAAATCATTTTTAATCAGAGCCTCCGTGGAAAAAGGTGTTGGTTGTATGTATTCAGCTGTTATGGTCCCAGCTGGATTCGTCTGCATATCTGGCAACCTGAGTCAGGGAGAGTGGGAGAGGCTGCAGTACCACTTTTGGCCACATGTTTACACACTGCTCCTTTAATGTTATTGCACATATTATTTGGGCGGTCATACAGAAGAGAATACATATTTCTCCCAGAGACAGAGCGTCACATGGGAATCCTTCCACCCTTCACCCAAACTCCAACACAAATACACCAACACGAGATAGTCAAATACAACATTCTCTTCGGCCGCAAACAAATCCGCTAACGTGATATTCACGGCGTCTCTGTGAAACACTCACAAGACGAGACGCCGTTTATTGCTCTAACTCAAAGATCCAAACAGCGGAGAACACGTGTCCTGAGGCTGTGGCTAGTGTCAGAATGTACAAGTCGTTTGGGGCGAAAGGCTTTAGCTGCTTTTAGTCATATTTTAAAGGAGCTCATTACAGGACACTTTTTGCAACAGTTTTTTCCAGTTCCATTCTGCAATAATTGTATATTTAACAGATTATATAGTTACTTCTTTATTATGCTAACGTCAGAGATTATATACTTAATTCTCGCTTCTTTATTAAAGTTACATTATTTTATGAACAAGTTATTGTTCATTTATCTCGTGCTGTGTGCTCCTCATTCCTACTGTACTGTAACTGGCGATGCAACACTGACATTTCCCACAAAATAAAGACAAATGGGACACATAAAGGATCCCCTCATTGTACAGTAATAATAATATTACATCAGGTTTTGGATACTCTGACACTTCACTTTATTCTTTCACTTCAAACACGGTGGTGATAACTACTACTGTAGCCACAGCTGCCCTGGGGCACACTGACAGAAGCGAGGCAACCAGTCTGTGCCATCGGCCCCTCCCACCAACAACCCTTCACACACACACCAGACTCATTCACTGTGGCACCTGGTGGTTTCAGAGGTCTCCCATCACAGCCCTAACCAGGTGTCCATAAAAGCAATGTATTTGTATTTATAATGTAAATTAAGAGCAACAATATAGTTACTCTTAATATATTATTAAAATAATCCAGTATGACAGAGTTGGTAATTGTTACTTAACTTAAATGTATTTTCAATCAGCATTTTCAAAACAAACCGACGATCACATTCATTACAGCCTGTCCGTCCGTGGTGCAGATCTTCACTGATCGATGAATTCTTCGTTAATCCCCTGTAGGAGAAATTCAGGTGTCCAGCAGCAGCAAAAATAAAAACCTAATAAATAGATTTTTCTAGAAAGCGAATCAAAAATAACGATTACAGGGCACTTGCGCAAGTCTCGAAAGTCTTAAGTATGGAATTTTGAAACACTTTTTTTCCAGACTTTGAAAAGTCTTGAATTTTGTGTGAAAAAAAATTATGGTTAAAAAAATCAACATTTCTAATAAACACAGTTGGTACAATCTCAACCAACGATGTAGGCAGTAGGCACACAAAAAAATATCAGTTTTTAAAAAGTCTGGAAAAAGTCATTTTAATTTGGAAAAAGAGCAAGCTCCCTGTATTAACATTGTGGGTCGACTCGAGGTTTCTCACTTGGTTTTTTGAGTTGTTCTTTGCCGATGCAGGATGATCCAGGACAGTTATTAACATTTATAGACATTGTTCATCCGTCTCTTATGGACCAAAGGCTCTATGGTTTTTTTTAATCATTGCATTTCTTCTATTTGAACTGAATTACTCTCAGATCTGTGGTCAGCAAATCTACACCTTTGTAAAGTCCCTTGAGATTACAAAAAATTGATAGAAAGATAGATAGATTCTTTAATGATCCCCCGTAGGTGAAATTCAGGATTCATTCAGGAACACATTGAATTGACTTGAGTGTCTTTTGTTTTGGCAGGTTGGTGGTTCGACGCCTGTGGTCCGTCCAACCTGAATGGCGTGTACTTCCCTCACGGTCAGCACATCGGGAAACTCAACGGCATCAAGTGGCACTACTTCAAAGGCCCCAGTTACTCCCTGAGAGCGACGGCCATGATGCTGCGACCCATGGACTTCCTCTAGTACCTCCTCGGTCCCAGATCCCGGCTCTTCGCTCCAATCATCTCACATCGCTGGCTCCTACGTCTGTAAAGGATCTACGTTTGAAAAGCCAAGCGGACGATTTTGTATTGTTTTCCTTCCCTCTTTATAACTGGCTTCGACGGAAACAGAGAGAGGACCTTCCCCCCTTTCCACCCCCAAATGTAAACTACGGATTATTTATGGACTGGTGTAACTCGTAAAGACGTTTGTGATAACCGTGAGGAGCGTATGAACAATTTTTTGTACTTTGCGAATGCTGCTGTTGTGGAGCGGCACCTTCTGAACTGCAGGACAGACTTATGTTTTTGTTTTTGTATTGAAATATCCCAGTTATGTCCAGTAAATGTGTGTATAATAGTGTATACTGTATCTATAAAGTATAAATGTTCTGTTCTTGTTCATGTTGAGATGATTCTTCTGCTATGGTTGTTTTGATTAAAGTAGATGTTACATATTTGTCTCTGGAACTAAGATTCTTCTCAAGGTTTTCCAGGTCACTCTGATTGGAGCCACTGGAACCAATCAAAATGGCTGCCTTAGCTCCGCCCACTCTCTCTCAACCTGGCAGTAGCATGGATCTATTATACTAGAAAGAGTAAATTAATGTGGGCTGCCCAGAAAAATGTCCCAATGCAAACAACAACAGCTCGACCTCAGCTGACAGAGAACCTGACAAAGAACCTGCAGATTTCAGGATTATGTGGGGATTTTAGTGTCCCTATTTGTTCTGAACTTTTTTTATCTTGTTAAATTCATTTTTTTCTTTAAATCCACATTTCAGTGCAACACACTCTGCTGGCTTTCTTCCCGCTATAGCTCCGCTCTAATCAGCAGCTCTGATTGGTCAGAACGTGGTCGTGCGTGTGCATGTGCATGAGAGCCACACGTGCTTGTTAATAATCGGCGCAAAGCATCATGGGAGCTCGTGCACTGCGCAGAACCGGGAGGACCAGAGAAATACTTAAATATGGGCGAGTTCCGCTAATCTCTTGGTGCCCATGGCGGGGCGCCACTGAGCACAAGTCATTGATTTGAATACGCCGCCATCTTGGATCGCCGAGGCCCAGGCAGCAGCAGTCGCCCACCACACCCTCACCTTCACTTTTCCAATTCAGCTATGTCCAAAGATTGTAGGGATTTCTGCACCAGATTACAGCTACAAAAAGTTCATATCTGTCTAGAACGCATTTGGATTCTCCTGCTTACTTCCATATTCAGGCCTGCCGCGTGGCTCTGGGCTTTGCCTCTCTCTGTGATATCAGCAAAAACATGAGCACATCAAAGGCCCTGCAAGCGGTGTTTCAGGTGAATAATACCTTCAAACTGGCACCGCTTTAAAGACATTAAACTGTAACTTTAAAACCACAGAAAATTTAAGTACGCAATAAAATTTTTGTAATTGTAGTTTATTGCTCTTGAAATAGTTTGGTCCAAATCATCGTCTGTAACTTCTTTAGATCAGCCCTTTCAGTGAAATGGACTAGCCCTGAGTCAGCCAATCAGCTCGCAGTATGTAAAGGCAAGTGTATAGCACAGTTCATACGCAGGACCACTCAAGCACCGAATCTTTACCACATTTCTTGTACAATAATAAATTAAAATATTCAAGTGTCAAATGAAATACCAACCAATACATCCAGTTTTATTACATCTTTAATTCTCTTTAGAAGGTCCTTTATCCGTCCCACAGTGGGGAAATCTCACTCTGATGAATACTCAAACACATATCAAGGCAACATTGCTCCTTACAGGCAAAGTGGGTTAAGTGTCTTGCCCGAGGACACAGCGATAGTACGCGTTTGTGGGAGCAGTTGGAGTAGGTCCCATGATGGACTCGAACCCACAACCATCAGGCTCAAAGGCCAATGCTCTACCACCTGAGCCACTGTCGCCCCCACATTATTATTTTCATTTTTTAAAGTCATTGACTGTTGGGGTTGCGCCTCGACGTGTTTGAAGGTGAGACGTGTTCATGTTGCTGTGTGTCTGAAATGCTGCTCTGACAGATTGAAGTGCATGTGGTTATTTTGGACCGGCATCTGCAACCAGATCCACCGGCCTTTTGTCATCCCCGAAACACACAAACCACTGCCAAGAATTAGACCCCAGTTTGCACCTTATGTCACCACTCGTCACACGGTGCAGGATTGTGTTAGAGGAGATGGAGATACAGCATAACCCTGACCCTGTGGACATCATGAGGCAAGTGTATTTGTAAACTGAATCTGAATCAGTTCAACACAAAGAATCTCAAAGGGCACAACAAAACATTTATTTGGATAATAAAGAAAAAACAGATATTAAAATCACACTATGGCGTTTGAGTAAGACAAAACAAATAATTGAAAACAATCCTTCGGTGGTGGTATTCAAAGCTAAACTCAACATCAAAACAATATTCTTAAAAGCATTTTTGCAACTTCCGCAGACCACAGACCACAGTGGTAAAGCTAAGAACAAGTAGCATACATACAGTGTATGTCCTGGTTTGTTAAAGAGTCAGAGCAGTGTTGTACAATACATCTGAACTGGAGAAAAAAAATCACTTAGATCCAATGTTGAATACAGGCTCAGTGGCTGAGTGGTTAGCCAAAAAGGTTTTGGGTTTGAATGCCGGTGGAAAAGTGTCTGCATAGGTTTCCTCCGTGTGCTCCAGTTTCCCCTACAAGAACAGGCCAAATCCTCCAGCTCCAGTCTTAAACAAATCGAGCTTCTTCCACTGCTCCTGAAGACGCCCTGTGGTCATCAGGATGAAAGAATGAATGAATGAATGAATACTTTTATGGGTCAAATGCAGAGGACAGATCTCTCTATGGGGAAAATACAGTTTAACTTTAACTTTATCAAACTTTCTAACCACAAAACATTCACTATAAACACAATCTAATGCTACTTAGCTAAAAAGGAAAAAATAATGCCTAGAATGAATTAATAGTTTATTTTGAGCCATGATGAATACTCAAACACACATCAAGGCATGCAGCAAACATTACTCCTTATAGGCAAAGTGGGTTAAGTGTCTTGCCCAAGGACACAACGAAAGCAGTCATCAGTGGAGTCGGTGGAGACGGTCCATTAGGAATTATCAAACTAGAACTCCCAGGGCTAGAACTGCTACCATCCAAAGTAAAGAGATTCTGAAAAAAAAATTTTCACCAGTAAAAGTCAAGTTCTTTTTTAAACAGAAACAAGAAACAAGATTTTTTTTTTATATATATATATAGTAGCTCAGTTGGTAGAGCATTGGCCTTTGGGCCGGAAGGTCATGGGTTTGAGCCCATCACGGGACCTTCTCCAACTGCTCCCACTAATGTCTGCTTAACCCCACATTGCCTGAAGCTCCCACTGAAACACCGAGGCTGTGGCACCACTGATAGCAGCCATCTTCCTGTGAACCCATCACCTGCAGAGGATCAGCGAGGTAAATGGACTAATAAAGGGGTTAAAAATGAATGAATGAATGAATACTGTTATCAGTTGAAGAGGTATTGGAAAAGAGCAGGTTTTATCAACGCCTTTTGACAGATTAGGGCCCTTTAATGATGAGTTGACATGAAAATCTTACATATTGATACCTTAACTTAAATGATGTGATTGCTGATAGACTTCTACAAGTTTCTTTCTGATGGAACAGAAATGGTTTTACTCATGAAAAGTCAGGACCCCAGCTTTAAGAGTGAGCAATAATTTGATTGTGGGTGCTGTAAACGTGATTCATCTGTGGCCACATACGTAAACATTCTCAGACTAAATATTTATTTCACTGACAGATAAGAAAGCTGTTGGCACTATACTGTACATTATGGACCTGTATCGTTCATGGCTGGAACTAGTACAACGTCCAAAGGTTTGTTTAAATGAGATAAAACCCAGTCTTACAAATCCAGCTCACGTATTTATAAAAGGCAGTGTGTGTAAAAGCCGGTCCTCGTATGGATCCTATCTGAGTCCGTCTCCTAAAGCCAATGTTTGGAAATCTATAAAAGCAAAGCAAACAGGAAGAGACAGGACTTCGAAGGCTCTCATTTGACCTGGTTCTATTGTGGCGTTGCAGATTTATTCAAACTCGTTGTAACATGTGGTCCGTGTGACGCTGAGGGTTTTAAATGAAACAATGTGTGATGCACTAATCTTTCCCATTCGAGTTCAGGCTGATCCAGACCGAGCTGAGTCCGTGTGACGATAGACGTAGTTCCAAGTCCACAACTGCTGCTGCTGTGTGTGTTTAAGTTATGGGTTTGAAAAGTGTGTCTCTAAATATGGCTTCTACAGCTGCACAATGAGTCACATGGGGATCTAAATTACAATAGTAAATAGAATGAGCAAAGAGGAAATAAATGCGGCCTCCTTTGCAAGACGCGCCGAGGGCCTTCGAATGCTGCTTGCGGTTTTAAAAGCAACAGCTCTTGAAACAAGAATAAATGGTTTTGTCCCATCGGAGAATCTTGCTTTAAAAAAAAAACACTCAATTAAAGCAATGACTTCATATTGATTCATTTTTTGTTGTGTACAGACCTTAGTGTATTCCTGGTTTTATACAGTGTTCTACAGTCTGCATGGCCTCACTTAACTTCACCTTTAAGTGTTTGGTCGTCTGTAGTCTGTGGTCAATGTCCTGGTTATAAAACAGAGGTGTGGAGACGGCAGGGCGGCTGTGGCTGCAGAGGAGGCTGTGGTCAGAGGAGGCTGTGGTCAGAGGAGGCTGTGGCCGCAGAAAAGGCTGTGGTCAGAGGAGGCTGTGGTCAGAGGAGTCTGTGGCTGCAGAGGAGGCTGTGGTCAGAGGAGACTGTGGCTGCAGGAGGCTGTGGCCGCAGAGGAGGCTGTGGTCAGAGGAGGCTGTGGCTGCAGGAGGCTGTGGTCAGAGGAGTCTGTAGTCAGAGGAGGCTGTGGCTGCAGAGGAGGCTGTGGTCAGAGGAGTCTGTGGTCAGAAGAGGCTGTGGCTGCAGGAGGCTGTGGTCAGAGGAGGCTGTGGTCAGAGGAGGCTGTGGCTGCAGAGGAGGCTGTGGCTGCAGAGGAGGCTGTGGTCAGAGGAGGCTGTGGCTGCAGAGGAGGCTGTGGTCAGAGGAGTCTGTGGTCAGAGGAGGCTGTGGCTGCAGGAGGCTGTGGTCAGAGGAGGCTGTGGTCAGAGGAGGCTGTGGCTGCAGAGGAGGCTGTGGTCAGAGGAGGCTGTGGCTGCAGGAGGCTGTGGCCGCAGAGAAGGCTGTGGTCAGAGGAGGCTGTGGTCAGAGGAGGCTGTGGCTGCAGGAGGCTGTGGCCGCAGAGGAGGCTGTGGTCAGAGGAGGCTGTGGCTGCAGGAGGCTGTGGCCGCAGAGGAGGCTGTGGCCGCAGAGGAGGCTGTGGCCGCAGAGGAGGCTGTGGCTGCAGGAGGCTGTGGTCAGAGGAGGCTGTGGCTGCAGAGGAGGCTGTGGTTGCAGAGGAGGCTGTGGCTGCAGAGGAGGTTGTGGTTGCAGAGGAGGCTGTGGCCGCAGAGGAGGCTGTGGTCAGAGGAGGCTGTGGCTGCAGGAGGCTGTGGTCAGAGGAGTCTGTAGCTGCAGAGGAGGCTGTGGCTGCAGGAGGCTGTGGTCAGAGGAGTCTGTGGCTGCAGGAGGCTGTGGTCAGAGGAGTCTGTGGCTGCAGAGGAGGCTGTGGCTGCAGGAGGCTGTGGTCAGAGGAGTCTGTGGCTGCAGGAGGCTGTGGTCAGAGGAGTCTGTGGCTGCAGAGGAGGCTGTGGCTGCAGGAGGCTGTGGTCAGAGGAGGCTGTGGCTGCAGGAGGCTGTGGTCAGAGGAGTCTGTGGCTGCAGAGGAGGCTGTGGTCAGAGGAGGCTGTGGCTGCAGGAGGCTGTGGCCGCAGAGAAGGCTGTGGTCAGAGGAGGCTGTGGCTGCAGGAGGCTGTGGCCGCAGAGGAGGCTGTGGTCAGAGGAGGCTGTGGTCAGAGGAGGCTGTGGCTGCAGGAGGCTGTGGCCGCAGAGGAGGCTGTGGCTGCAGAGGAGGCTGTGGCTGCAGAGGAGGCTGTGGCTGCAGAGGAGGCTGTGGCTGCAGGAGGCTGTGGTCAGTGTCAAGGAGGAAAATTGGATTTAAAACCTCTACAGTCACAGGACTGAGAAATCTGGACACTTTTTAATGAAACACACTGTAATGATGTCAAGGAGCAAAGCTAAAGTCAGGGATTTTGTGCTTCTTGTAAAAATAAATGATTTATTTCTAACCTGCACAATACATATAATTCATATATCAATAAAACAGAGACACACACAGACCCGATACACACAGAGACACACAAACACATACAACACAGACGCACACATACAACACACACAAACACACAGAGAGACACTGATAGACACGCACACACACACATACACACAGAGACACACACACATACAGAGACACACACACAAACAGAGAAACACACACACGCACAACTGTACAGTACAAACAGTAACACAACACTACCACCTATGGTATAAGACAAACAACACAAAAAACACACACAGAGACACACATACACACACAACTGCACAGTACAAACAGTCCCACAACACTACCACCTATGGTATAAGACAGACAACACATAACACACTCTGACGACACACAGGCCCAAACCTCTCCGACCCGACACCTCTCTCTCACTGCTCGCTCTGTGCTAAAGCATCACTCGCTTTCTTCCACATATTTCTTCAATACATATTTTTAAGCATTATTTTGAATTAAATCAGGTTCGAGCAGGTCTTTAATTCATCTCATTTCATTCCAAACACACATTGATTTAAAGTAGTCCTACATTCAGACACACGTTTTTACCTGCTCTTAATCTATTATTATTATGAGAACCCGTGTCATGGAACAGGTTCTGTCTCATTATTTTATTATTTATCTTATTATTTTTTTTATGTATATATTAGTTATATCGTTCATTTATCTTGTGCTGTGTGCTCTGCATTCCTACTGTTCTGTGACTGGTGATGCAACACTGAAAATTCCTCTCTGTGGAACCAATAATAAAGGATCTCATTACTGTAATCTTCTACAGCTTTGGTCACTGATGCAATAGCAGCAGTGGCCGCTAGAGGGCGACCCTGCCATACTGTTTAAAAACAAGCCTCGCACTTAACACGGATGTCTAAATTGGAAACTGAAAATTTTAACTAATAACACTAAATACACAAAGTGACAAGGTCAAATTATCTGGATATTTGTAAATAGTCAACACAATGTCAGGGGCTGAGAAACTGGGGGAATCTGAATCAGGCAGAGACCAATGTTCATAATTGTTCAAAAAATCAGTGTGTTTTGGCTCAACTTATTTTTCAAACATTGTCCAATAATGTTTAGTTTACTGGGGATAACTATTTCATTGCTGTATGTGTTTAATTTATGGTATGGGAGTTCTTGTTCTAAGTGCACTGCCTTAAATATCCAGCAGGGGGAGCCTTCAGGCATTGAAGGGAGCGGGTATGAGAGTTGAGTTTATTATTAAATATCACCACATATAATAATAATAATAATAATAATCTTTATTTGTATAACACTTTTAAAAACAATGTTTACAAAGCGCTGCACAGTCAGCATTATAAACAATAATAACATAATGCAAAGTGAAAATAATTAGATACATCAGATGCAGGAAAACAAACACAAGAAGGGAGACACAACAAAGACAGAGCAGACATTAAAATACAGCATGAGAAGTTTAAAACTAGCAGTTAAAAGCTGTTTTATAAAAGTGGGTTTTTAGAAGTGATTTAAAAGAGGATACTGATGGAGCCTTATCTCCTCGGGCAGGTGGTTCCAAAGCCGAGGAGCCCGCACAGAGAAGGCTCGGTCCCTTTCGTCCGGAGCCTCGACCTTGGAACAGTCAACAGGGACCTGCCCGAGGATCTAAGGCTGCGGGGGGGGGCTCGTAGGGGGTTAAAAGTTCAGAAATATAGCTGGGTGCCAGACCTAAACGAGCTTTAAAAGTAATCAGTAAAATCTTAAAATCAATTCTAAAACGCACAGGGAGCCAGTGGAGAGACGCTAAAGGGGCGTTCACACCGGACTTAATTTTGGCGTCAAAAGCGTCAGGTTTGCATTGAAAGTGAATGGTGAAGAGCGTCAGGTGAAGCCGAGGGGCCCGGCGTCACTTGGTCTGAACGCGCCTTAAGACAGGGGTGATGTGCTCCCTTCTGTTAAAACCAGTGAGAAGTCTGGCTATTCTCGAACATATACATATGTAAGGGATAATGTATAGCATACAGGTCATTATCGGAAAATAAGTACCGACAGGGCGAAGCGGACCCCGACGCGAAGTTTATTTAATGACAACAAATAAAGTAGTCCCAAAAAGTTTTCCCGTTGCTCGGCAACCGCGGGCAGGCAGTGTGGCTTGGACAATTGTGGCTATGCTAGCAACAGTTAGGCTGGCAACTTCCAAACTAGAACTCTCTGGAACTGCATGAAAACTGAACAAAGCATTCTGAACATCAGCGGTGAGTGACCCAAACATAAACCTAACCTAAATCCATAATTCCATCCTCTGCAAATGTGTCCGAAAATGTGCCGGTATCTACTTCTGGGTTTTTCGGGATCGCCTTTTCTCGCATTACATCAGTGTTTTTATCATGAAAACGTAAACGGAAAATTCTGAAAACTTCCGTGCACTTGTATTAAGACTGGATATGTATAATTCACTCTCCGATAAACATTTCATTGCGTTGATTGATTGGCATTTGCGTTTATTGAGCGGCCGGAACTACTTCCGGGTTTTTCACGATCGCTTTTTGACTCAGAGAGATAGTATTTTTGTCATGAAGACAAGACCAGAAAATTCTGAAAATTTCCGTGCACGTGTGTGAAGAATGTATATGTATAAGTATTCTCCGATTAACATTTAGGTGTGTTGATTGAGCGTGGCTAAGCTCCGGAGTGGCCGGAACTACTTGCGGAGTTATCCACGCATTTGAAAGACAAGCAGAGAGTGCGTTGCCAAAGGGCAGCGGTCATTATTGTTTTGAGAGGTCCGTTATAGAAAATAATGACCGTAGAACGTTTTGAAATTACATTCAAATCAATGGAGCGTTCTACTGCTGCTCTGAGGAGCCGTATAATAAATTATAATATTGTACATGACTCAAACTCATGAAGAAAAGGGAGAAGAAATCATACTTACATGTAGAACCCATCTTGTGAAGCCTCTGAAGCTAAGCAAGGCAGGCCCTGGTAAGTGCTGTGATGGTAGACCTCTGGGAACACTAATTTCCACAGTGGTGCGGTTGTAAACTGTCAACCTCTCCTTTGGCAAGACGCTTCACCCACATTAGAATAAGTCTGATATTAGTGTAAACGGTTAGTGGGGGTGGGATTGGTTGCCTCGCTTCTGTCAATTTGTCCCAGGACGGCTGTGGCTATAGACTGCGGTAGTTTATCACCTCTGTGTATGGTTAGAAAGAATAATAACATGAAAAGCCTGAAAAGCTCTGAATAAAACTGATGCATTAAGAAGGAGTGGTGTTTGATTAGAATGGAACTGAAATACATCTGGGAACTTCAAAAAAATGTCTTTCCGATACTTTTTTAAGTCATTTCATATTTGAGCGACAGATTTTAAACAGACGTCTGAATAAGAAGCACATTTCTCAGCTTCAGTCACAGACGCAGAGGTCACAAATCACCAACATTGGACCCACACTGACCTCTGCTGGTGGAAACATGAACTGAACTTTTTGAACGCGTCTCAGAATCAGGCTTAGGACTGCTTTGAAGAAGTCAACACGTCATTTGAGACACTTGTTTGCATCTACGTCGTTACTTTTCTAACTAATGAAAGTCAGTGCCGTGAGATTTCATAGAATATGTTGAAAATGCTTCTCGGTTCTTACAAAGCAGCTGGATGACTTTATACAACTCAAACACTGCAACTTTTTTGACAATAAAAAACATTATTTACTTTTCACATTGCAGCAGAATACGAGTCAGAGATTTACACATTTACAAAGGGTTGGCATTGTGTGGGAGCCATTATAACTAGCATTAATGATAATAATAACAACGCTGTAGTAACACCCAAAAAGGAAACACCCACCTCATATTTTAATTTTTAAGCAAGTAAGTAATCTTTATAAAGCGCCTTTCACAGACCAGAGTCAAAGCAGATTACAATTGTGGGCATTTGTCTCTCTCTCACAGAGATGGGAGGGGCCAGTACAGAACCTATTGTACATGTTTTTAGTGGTAGGGGAAACCAGAGTACAAGGAGGAAACTTACGCAGACACAGGAAGAACATGCAAACTCCACTCAGAAAGGCCCTGTTCCGACCGGGATTCGAACACTAGACAAAAGTGCCTATTTTTAACTCACACATGTCTGTTGTTCAGTCTGACTGCCGAAGGAACCAAGGATCATGTGAGATTTGCATGAACGAATCTAATCTACTGAAATCATCTTCTAATAATGAGGAAGTGGCGCGGTGTAGACAGATGCACGGGCAGCACCGGGAAATTCTCACTCTTTCTTCTCCTACAGTTTGCCAAGAGACGTCAACAGCACATGCTCTTTAACGCTGTCCACAGACCAGAACCGCAACCAACCAATCAAGATTAACTACTGATCAGGAGCCTTTCCAAATGTCTGTGTGTGTGTATTTTCTTATTAGAATTCTCCTCCAATACACGCAACAGAAAAACATAGAAATGTCATAGCATGTGTTATGGTCTAAAACAGCCATGTCCAAACTCTGCCTTGCTAACCTAAAGCAGTCTTTGAGATCATAAACACAAGTTCACTGTGTCATCCATCCAACTCCAGCTCAGCCATTATAGTCATGTCGTAATTCGTGCTAAAGCCAAGTCTGGAAATTAGTTATTGACTTTATTTGCACAAATTGTACTGATGTTGTTTTTGATTGTGTCACTTCCATCAAAGGTGAGTAACGTAGCTAATGAGATGGTAAACATGTGTCATTCAGCCAACTTCAGCTCTGTTATAGATGATTTTAAAGCTCAGAACAACCCGATGCCAGTCAAGACAGTTTTTCAGTCCTTGACAAGACGCTTCACCCACATTAGAATAAGTCTGATATTAGTGTAAATAGGGGTGGGATTGGTTGCCTCGCTTCTGTCAATT